TATTGGAGTAGAAAAGAAAATCTAATGCAAGTATAGAGAGCCAGCTTAGAGCTGAGATTGCTCATACAACACCAGTGTTAAAAACCTTGGCAGTTGATCCAATGCTTGCTCACCTCCCCTGTCCTCTGCAGCAGCTTCTAGTCCTTAATGCTCTTTTGATGTAGGTCTAATTCCTTGTGATCACGTACAAATTTAAAGCCTTCTCTCCAGCCTCAGCCGGATCAGGCTCTTTTGGTGACAGCCCTAGTTGTTGCATTAAAATGTTGTTCATCCATGAGACTGAGATAAGGTAGCTTGTTTCTTTCTGGCTAAGAAAGCTCCTTCATTCTCATGAAGGGAAGGTTTATGAGACTGATTAGATTTAGGCATAATTATGACTCAATGAAGCACAAGGTTTTTCTCTCTGAGTGTGCACATCAAGCTTGAGGTACAAACATCTTTGTTCTCCTGGTGCTGGGCTGGCCTGCAGGCAGAGATCTGTGCCCAGCTGTTTGGCTCTTTAGCCACATGCTTTTCCCAAGCAGGGGTCTGGCCAACATTGCCGAACAGATTTTTATTTGTTATGCAAATTAGGAATTATGCTTGGGTTTCCAGCTGAGAAAAATGAGTACACTTATCCTCCAGGCTCTATAAATCAAGGCAACTAGATCAGTCAGAAATACATAGGAAAACTGAAAATGTGCAAGCAAGTGAAATCCTGCTATAAGCACGGTTTTAAGAAACAGATCTGTGTAAAATTCACAGTTTGAAAACAAAGAACTGCTGTTTTAATTAAGATTAAACAATTAGTTTTTAACCATTTTATACTGTTTTTGTCTCTTCATGGACAGTGAAGTGATCCTGAATAGTTATTGATACGGGGAAGCTGTTATTGCAAAATATGCTTTAAATTTATACAACTGCTTGCTAGCTCTTCTAGCCCGGGAGGATGCTAAGGGCCTCCTGAGGCCATGCCTACACTGGCTCTGGGCTGGGAGCACCATTATGAAGCCCACTTCAAGCCCAGCACAGTTCTTGGGCATGCTTCGTTGCATACGCTCAGGGCCACTCCTAGGCAGCCCTGTTGCCTGAGATTCAGTACTTTTGGAGCTAGAGTGTGTGGGCACATGTATTTCACAGCAGTGCTCCTTTGTGTGGCACAGAGGCAGGTCAGCCTGCCTGAAATGCCTTTGTGCCATTTAGCGTAACCCACTTGCGAACGGACTGGAGCAAGAGCATCTGCAGGGCAGCAGTTGTGAAACACCTATTCTTAGCTTTCTCCCTTGGCAGAAAGCCTGTGCTTTCCTTCTGAGCTGACTAGATGGTCACATCCAGATTACGGGAGTGTGCTAAAATGTAGCAATGATTACATCCCAAATGCAGCAGAGACGGTCCCATCTGAGGAGCAGTTCCTTTAGTTGAGGATTTGGAGCTGAAGCCAGTGGCAGAATTCCCCAGGATACAGGGGAAGTGCATGGAATCATTTCTTTCCCAGCAGTAGTTGGGGGAATAGGGCAAAGGGAAATAGAATGAATGTGGTGAATGTTACTGGTGTTAAACTAATCAGAAACATTCATCTAACATGAGGCCTGAATAACTCCCCCAGGAACTGGCTTCTAGCTGGGGATTGAGGGGTGCTTCCCCTCAAGCCCTCTGAACTGAACTTCCTTTCTAAACTGTAGGCAAAGCAACTATCTCTAACGATGGCACCACAATCCTGAAGCTCCTTGATGTCATCCACCCTGCTGCTAAGACGTTAGTGGACATTGCCAAATCACAGGACGCAGAGGTATGAGTGTGAACCACTGTCACGTTTTGGGAGATGCATACAAGAAGGGCAAAGGAAGCCTGCTGTGATGCTGGGTTTTAGTTTGGTCCTTGTTTTGCTGCTGGGTCTATGGAGAGCCATGGTATATCTGTGTCCGAGTCCAGGCTTGTGTTTCTAGTTGGAAAGTTTTGTGCTTGGGCTTGGATGTCTTCCTGCGACATCTCTGCCTTTCATGCCAGTGCTCTCCTGGCGGCTCTAGGCTATGAGAGTGATGCACACTCCCTTGCATTGCAGGTTGGTGACGGCACCACCTCGGTGACTCTGCTGGCTGCAGAATTCTTGAAGCAAGTGAAGCCGTACGTGGAGGAGGGCCTGCATCCTCAGATCATCATCCGGGCCTTC